TTTTTTTTTAAGGGGGGAAAATCATCGAATGACTGCTCCCGCCTGGGTGAGGCGGGAGGGAGTGTCAGACTCTTACTGACTAAAAACCACCCCATTCCTTCTCCTGCACGTCGAGCCGGAGCCCCGGTTACCCGTTAGGTTCTTCGCGACATGTACTAAGGTCTAGCTTCTTCTCCTCAGATCGAGCACATAGTCCTCGGTCGTGGTCCGCCAGGCGGGTCGTGGCACACGTTCCCCCCGAGCGTGCGCACGCTGTCGCCGGCCGCGTGGCTGTCCCTGCCGCCGCACGCCCCCACCGGCACCGCGCGACTCTCCGCGCGCGCCGTCGCTAAATACTGTCGCCGATATGTACACGCTTGTAAACTACAGGTAAATATTCTTTTATACATCACTAGCTTTTACCCGCAGCTTCGCTTGCGTCACAAAAGAATAAAAAGTAGCATGTAATATATACCAATACACACAGCGCCATCTATACCAATACTTTTGTTTTCCCTCGAGAATATCAATTTTTTCCGGGATAATAAGTACCCTATTATTTAATCCGGACTTCTAACTTTACGTCTGCAAGAATTCAAAGCAATCGGTTTAGTAGTTACGGCGTGAAAGCGGAACAAATAAATAAACAAACAAACAAACTCACTTTCCGATTTCACACTTTTAAATACAATTATTAATCGATAATCTTCAAGTAAATTCTTCAATAACACATTTCTTCAAGACACAATAACATACTTGATTCTTCTTTTTTCATTACACATTTTTCAGAATACATCTTTGATATCTTCGCTTCTCTTCTCTCTGATAAACCTGAACAGCTCTTTAAACTGTCAAACACCAAGCGGTCACCGGTGACCGCAACCTATTGTTCTATAATTGTGTCTACAAAACCGGTACTCGACGAGTTAATAAACTAAAACATTAGTCTTACCCTTCATTATGAGTCCCTGCATGGCTTGAAACTAGTCAAGTTACTCCGTAAAACCAGTTAAGAGAACGAGTCGTGAAACTCAATTAATCTAACACGTTACTGTTTACAGAAATTCTTCCGTAGCGGCGTGACAGTGACGAGCGTGACTCGCATCCCGCAGTCTGACACGCCGCGCTGTCACAACACACACTGTCCACTCAACGCACAGTTCTGTGTTCAGGGGTAAGCATTATATCTGCAGTATTCATGAAATTATAGATATTCCCAATAATAAGTGCTGCATTTCAAACGTAGTATGTCGTCAGACACGGGAGAATAGAAGAAAAATAGATAGGGCACACAGCTTACAAACTGTTGTTAGGATTGAAGTTAATTAAATTAACTAAAATCGCGGGTTACTCACGTGAATATACTAGTTTCGAACCACAGAGGGGTTCTTCGTGCTCGTGAGCCCTCTGTGACGTGAGTAACCGGCGATTTTAGTTAATTTAGTATGTCTCACGATAGTTATTATAAAAACAGTATTCAAGTTGTCCGATTTTTAATGGCCACTTCTTATACCCTTCATTAATTGTAAAGTAAACTTACAATTTTATAGGAAATGTCAATGTAATCAGTCAGTCTGTCAGTCTTGACATTTAGAGGCCAATTTATAAACTGGTATCGTCATATAATCTGACGAATTTTGGACCAATAGACCAATGTTTCACGCCGGTGTGTTCGTAAGATCATAGTGTTGACACATGAAAGTATGGCTCAACTTCGTGAAAGACTAACATAAATCGTCTGTGTCAGATTAAATGCATGAAGATTCAAAAGAGATATAGACTATAGACACTTTTGAAACGTTAAATTGAATTGTTAGTGAAGCTAGTTCGTTCCAAAGTGTAGATTCAAATGGAGAAGAACGAGGACGAAACTCCATCGTTACTGTTTTCAAAAAAAGGTTTTTTACTATCTCAAATACATTATAATTATGATCCTTACCTATTGTATATGTGAGAACAATGTAACGACAATATAGTGTCAAACTTAAAGAAGCTAAAGACGACTGTCTCAAACATGGTGTCCACACTCTTAAATACTCATTCTCTTCTTGCATCGACCATTGTTTCTGTCTCTGCATCACTCAAAGGTCTGGCTGATTGAGCCCACCCTGTACACACGGCCACACATGAACCTATACAAAACCAGTTTATCCTGGTGTCGCGTCGCATCATCTTTCTGCACATTTAACGTTCAGTTCATACTGGTTATGTAAAGCTCGATGTGTAGCCGTGTGTACATTAAAAGGTACATGAAGCGTTTAAAATAAAAAAATAAATGAGACATATGTATTAATAAATTATCTACTATGTTTTCGGCATACTCACGTAACTGTTTGACGACTCGGCTAGCCATGGTAGCAGCGTGACAGTCGCCGCGTCTCGAATCGCGGAATGCTGCCTGTAGCATGGCTTGAAACTAGTCGAGTTCCTCGTGAATCAGTTACGTGAGGAAGCCGAAAACATATTATAATAAATAAGCTAACATAAGTTCGTTTGATGACAGCTTCGACAACGCGTCGTGTCGTCCGTTCCGGTACGTGTGCGCGCGCGCGGTGGTGGCGGCGGGCGGCGGCGCGCGGCCGCGCACGTTGTCGCGCGCCGTCGCCGCGCACTCGCTGCACGCGCTCGCGCACTTCGAGCGCGCGCTGCACGTACTGCGCAACACTGGTGAGCCACTCGCATTATCATTTATAGCTTCTATCTTTTCCCCTTGTTACTTACTATCTTAACTCGTCACTTGCATGTCTCTTGTATCTTTCAATAAAGAGTTTGACGCGGTGACAGCTGGAACTAATATTGAATTGGACTGAATCACCCACCCCGGAACATAGCCCATGAATAAACAATTATCCGAATATAAGACTTCCTCTTTTTAAACTCGGTAGAAATAACAAATATCAAAACCGATTGTGTCGTATATCGTTTGTACCGTTGCCACCGGTATGATACTAGTGACCTCAGTTATTCAAAACTTTTTTTTTTATTAAACTGCGGTTTTTCTTTGTTATTCTAGTCACGTCTACTAAACGATACATAACATCACGCCTTTTATCCCCGAAGGGGTAGGCAGAGGTGTACATTATGCCACTGTACAATGTAACACCCACTTTTCACTATTTATGTTATGAGTCCCATGTAATAGGGGGTGAGCCTATTGTCATATACCGGGCACAATTCCAGACTCCGTGCTGTTACTGAGAATTTTTTGAAAAATCCAGTAATACTTTGCCCGACCTGGTACACGAAACTCCTTACTTAGCAGGCGCACTTGCGACCACATGACCAATGATACCTAATAGTCCTAATATTATTTTCTTATTTGTCTATCGCAGCAGTAGACATGTCCCCTCCCCCGCGCGTGCTGGTGGTGGGGTCCGGCGTGAGTGCGGCGGACGGCGTGTGGCTGGCGGCGCGCGCCGGCCTGCACGCCGCGCACCTGCACCGCGCGCCCGCAGACGCACTCACGCGACTCGACCCCGCCGCCTACCCCGACTACTGCCAGGTAACTACCCGCTAGATACGATTTTTATGGTATTTTTTTTAAGGGGGGGAGAATCATCGAATGCCTGCTCCCACCTGGGTGAAACGGGAGGGAGTGTCAGACTGACTAAAAACCACCCCGTTCCTACTCCTGCACGTTGAGCCGGAGCCCCGGTTACCCGTTAAATTCTCCGCGACTCTTTTATGGTATATACCGACAAAAAGACATAGATCCTCTGATGCCTGTAAGCAATCGGTATCGCCCGTGAATACTCGCAACCCCACAGGTGTTACCAGTGTGTGTATTAGGGCAATATTTCACCAGTCGAACCGGCTCATTCATGCCGAAAGATCTTTCCTAAGTGTGAAATATGCTAATGATGATACTCATAGAGTTAAACATATTTCAAACTTAACGTTTTAAATAAGCCTATTCTCATTTTTGTTCACTCGTTGTTGTCACATGGCTTGTAATAATTATACTTTATCATCCATTCCAGGTGTACAGAATGATGTGCGACGGTCCGTCGGGCAACCACAAGAACTACACTCCGTACCCGCACCACACCATCGTCGACGTCACTCCCCTCGACACGCGACACACTGACGACATCGACGACTACGCCCTCTGTCCCAAGCGGGTCAAACTACTCGACCTCAACACCAACGAGATCACAGAAATACAAGTCTATGTCATTGGCGTCTTCATCGGCTCCAAACCGGACCTCTTCTTCTTACAAACAAACTACCTCGACTGCATCGACATCAAGATAGACTGCACCAAATGTATCGACGAATCTAAACCCACCAACCGCAAGATAGAAGAGAAACAATGCTTCCTCAAAAACCACTGGCATTACCTCAAGTCAATGCTCGGACAGAGCATCCAGAGCTGCAAGTCCAGATACTTAAATTATTCCGAAATAAATGGCAACTCTGACACAAAGTGCGTTATACCGGACTGTAACAAGCGAACTGTTGATATCAATGAGAAAAATAATGTGATGGACAAATGTGAAATCATTCCATATTCAGACGACGACAAGGTGAAATGTACCTGCGAGACTGTTAATCCTTACTCTTCGGGGCTAGGCTTTGGTTTGGATCCGAAGAAGCCAGTGGACGGAAGGAGTAACCCTATAGCTGTAGACAAGTCTTCTCACGAGATACTGAACGGGCCGGAGGGCATGTACGCGCTGGGTCCCCTGACTGCGGACAACTTCGTGCGCTTCATCCCCGGCGGGGCGCTCGCCCTCGTCACTCACATGCACCAGAACAAACACTGACTTGCCATAACCATTAATGTGATTGTAATACTTAATTCGTTTTTTCTTTACAATAAATTATTTTTTATACCCAGCATTTTGTCGTTTTTGTTCCCTGTAGAAAATAGTTTGGTAGAGGTAGTAGCAAAACTTTTACATGTAAAGCTGTAGGTGTCGCGCATTACTCTGAGAAAAAACATCGAAATACATAATATTATGTCAGTCTGTTTTTTTAAATCTAATAATAAAGTAAATTAAGAGAACCCAGCAAGTGATATTTTGAATGTTCAGTCATGTACTGAATGAGGTGAAGACTATCGTGTCTGATGTGTAAACAGAGATTATGGTACATATTAACCACACCCACAAACTTCTATCTTCTGCGTATAGTGAAATAACCATAGCTGGGCATTAACTCGTTAATCCGTTAATCGTTAATTAACGAAGTTATCACTTTGATTAACGGATTGAATTTTAAAAATGTTAACGGACCCGTTATCTTCCGTTAAAATGTAGAAGTCCGTTAATCGTTAATCCAATGCCTACTATTTACCGCAAAAACAGGTTCAGACAAGTATGAAATGACAAATGCCGGGCGGCGCGTAGCAGCGCGTAAAACAAAAACAAAACTAGATATATTTGGCCGGCGCGTCCGAGTGAGAAAACTGCGAAGAATTTTTTTTTGTTTTTTAAGTTGACTAATGCAACGATATAAAAATGTAATTTAACACATATTAACGGATTAACGATTGATAATTACGTCAATTCTTCCGAAATGGAACGCTCTAGTTTAACGAAGCTAACTTTTTTGTAGCGGATTAACGATAGACGAAGTTAACTATTTGATTAACGGTGCCCAGCTATGATTATAACCATCAACTTAACTATGTGAACTATAAACTAGAAGGTTTGCAACGACAAGTTATACTAAAATGGTGCCTACCGTGGTCGATGGTGAACCTTCACTAAATTGCAGACATCATCTATGTTGATGGGTTTAACAAGTGTTGCCTTTTGTTGTATAAACACATACATTTTACCTATTTTATCAACATACTATACCTACATTTGAAACTATACTTTGGAACAACTACAGCCTAGCTTCACTGACGGACAGGCTGTCTGAAATTGTGTCCGGTATATGGCAACCGTGCGGGAACCAAGATAGTTATTCATGTCCCTGGGACGCGCCGGACTTCAGTGTTCCGGTGTTTGCATGGTTGTTCTACTGTAGATCCTGGCTTACAGGAGTTGCAGCGGCTTTGGGAGGTTGTGACGGGCTTGTCCTAATAAAAACAAAAATATAAATAGTGAATAGTGGGTGTTACATTGCACAGTGGCATTAAATGCTGTAATTTGCACCTCTGCTTTCCCCAACGGGGAATAAAAGGCGTCATGTTATGTTTGTCAATTATGACGATTTTTTGCTGTTTGAGCATTAAATTTTATCCTGATTAAATGCTCCCATAAAACAGGAATCATGTTATATGCAAACGAAGTCGCAGGCAACAGCGTTTAGTAAAAAATAACAAATAAAGTAAAAACCACACAAACAAGGTGTAAAGCCAAACACACACATATGAAAAAAGTTCAAACTGGGCCGACCATAGATATAATGAAGAAGGAGATATGCTGTGGAGTCTTCGATCAACTTGTTGATCGAAGTGTGGAGTCAAAAATGTACGCAAAACCGGTGAAGCCACAATTGCCCCTCCATAAAACTAATATTACACACACAGTTCTGACAAAACAATACTACGAATAAGTGCACACACGCGGCATCGATAACTCAGTAATTCAAATATAAGGCTTATTCTTTAAACGACGGAGCACATGATTCTATGATTTACTCACGCTAAAACAATTTGTCAATGTGTGTGTTAGGGGCGGGATCTACCGTCGCCGTAGTGACTTGACAAATTAGGTATCCAGAGAGATGGAAGATGACCCGGGTCATACCGGTACCGAAGGGAGGTTCGGGTACAAAAGTCGAGGAATACAGACCTGTTGCGGTATTGTCAACGCCGGCAAAGCTACTCGAATCCGTTGTTCAAAAAAGTATACACCTTCAAGTGCGCTCGCAACTAACGGACACGCAACACGGATTTAGACCTGCAAGAAGCACTACTTCAAATCTTCTCAGCTACGTAGCAAAAGTGGTGCCGACAGTAGACAGTGGAGGGCAGATCGACGCCGCTTACTTCGACTTTAAAAAAGCCTTCGACTTAGTCGATAATGACGTGTTGCTGAAGAAGTTGGCAGCTGTCGGATTCACTCCAAAACTGCTTAGCTTTTTTGCGCACTATATGAGAGATAGGCAGCAATATGTGGAGTATGCAGGATACCGAACGCAGCCATATTATACAAGATCTGGTGTAAGCCAGGGCAGCAATTTGGGTCCTTTGGAATTTATATTGATGGCAAACGACATGCCAGATGCCATAGAAGATGCTCAGTGTCTGTTGTTCGCGGACGACCTTAAATTATCTCTCCCTATTAGCACGGAAGATTGTGAAAAATTGCAGAGAGATATTGACAGAGTCGTTCGTTGGAGCAAACAGAATCGATTGCAGTTCAACGTGTCGAAGTGCGTTACGATTTCATTTTCTCGGGCACGCGCTCCTATTCAATATAAGTACACTGTGGATGGAGATGAGTTGGCCAGGGTAAAGACTGTGAGAGATTTGGGAGTTCATTTTACTACTGAGCTGACGTTTCGTGATCACATACTCAAAATCTGTAAAAAAGCATACAGGAACTTGGGGTTGGTTCTTCGAATAGCTAGAGGCTTTACAAATATAAAAGCTATTAGAGCGTTATATAATTCGTTAGTTAGGAGCCAACTAGAATGTAACGCAGTTATCTGGGCCCCACATGAGACTAAATATAGCCTCATGTTGGAGCGTGTACAAAATAAGTTTATTCGATTTATTTACATGAAGCTGTACGGGGTTTATCCTTTTTATCCGCTAATGTATCCTACCCTGTTTATCCTAGGTATGGTCGGATATAATGAACTGAGGGTCAGGAGGGAACTCACACTCGTAACCTATATCTTTTCGGTGGTTAGGGGGGTGATACATAATGCGGATATTTTGGCCAGGGTAGGGTTGTGTGTGCCGGACGAGTATGCGACGCGTCGGCGACGACCGCGCCTACTGGCGGTGCCGCGAGCGCGCACTAACTTACTGAGCGACGCGCCTCTGACGCGCGCACTGCGCACGCTCAACCTCATAGCTGAAGACGTTGATATGTTTTATTGCACTCTGAGTGAATTCACTAAAGTGGCACTTCGTAGCATTTGTTATGGTTAGTTAGTAAAAAAATTAGTTTGTAATTTAGATATAAGAGGCCTCAATATCGATTTGGATAAGTCTGTAAGGATATTGCTGGGAATAAAGTAAAATAAAAATAAATAAAAATAAATAAATTGTAGAAAATTGTGAGTAGTTTCATTTTGTATATCACGTTTTCCTCATAAAATGCACAGGAAAATCAAATTGTAAAAAAACTTTTTGGACGCCATTTCTTCAAGATAGCGGCGCGAGCGGCGTACTTACAAAGGTGCATAACGGAAATCCGAAAAAGTACATCAAAATTGGCCAATTTTCAAAACTCCCGGAAAGCATTCCAGTTATAACGAACTACCAAATTACTGACCTATTCTTTTAAGGTTAACATAACATCACGCCTTTTATCCCCGAAGGGGTAAGCAGAGCTGCACATTATGCCACTGTACAATGCAACGCCCACTTTTCATTATTTATATTATGAAGCCCATGTAATAGGGGGTGAGCCTATTGCCGTATACCGGGCACGATTCCAGACTCCGTGCTACTACTGAGACTTTTTTTAAAACCCAGTAAAACTTTGCCTGACCCGGGAATCGAACCCGAGACTCGTTGCCCGGCAGTCGCACTTGCGATCACTCGGCCAACGAGGCAGTCTTAAGGTTTAAGGTTAAATGAATAAAAAACGCTAATTTTTGATTGTTTCTTTATTTAAAATATAAAGATGCATACTTTGATTAGGTATATACAGTTGACATTAAATACAGATTAAAATTTTCTTGTTTTGAAACATCTTTGGGTGCTATGGGTGCTATGGGTGCAAAACGTTAAGTTTTATATAATTATGTAATCATTTTGACTAGTTGTATGGCTAACTTACACAAAAAAGTCTTTATTGTTACCTGTTAAATGTTAGTTAGGCACTATAATATAAACATCATCTGAATCTATTTTTTTCTTTAATTCTTCAATTATATCCGAAAATTGTGCTACCTTTTTTTTCAATCTTCTACTTTGTTGTTGTAGTGTTTTAATTTTTTTATTTTTAATAATTAATTTTTTTTTCAATCTTTCCATTGAAGTGCAAACATGTTTGGCTGGCAGTTTTGGGTCTATTGTAGGCAGTATTGGATGTGTTGTAGGCTGTATTGGATGTGTTGTAGGCTGTATTGGATCTGTTGTAGGTAGTATTGAATATGTTTTAAGCACTATTGGATGTGTTGTAGGCAGTATTGGTTCTATTTTAGGCAGTATTGGTTCTGTCGTAGGCAGTATTGGATCTGTTGTAGGCAGTATTGGATCTGTTGTAGGCAGTATTGGTTCTATTTTAGGCAGTATTGGTTCTGTCGTAGGCAGTATTGGATCTGTTGTAGGCAATTTTGGATCTGTTGTAGGCAGTATTGGATCTGTTGTAGGCAGTATTGGTTCTGTTTTCGGTATTATTGGATCTGTTGTAGGCAGTATTGGTTCTGTTTTAGGTATAACTGGAGGCAGTGTAGTAGTAGTATCATTTGAAGGGCGCAGTAAATTTTCTTTTTTCTGAAATAAAAATATTTTATAAAACATCAATAATTAAACTTGGCTAAAAAGAACAAGTTTTGAGTAGTTTCTTAAGTTTTACCTACTTTTCTTGCTACTTACCTGCCTTTCATATATATTAGACAAATGGACCAGAAAGTTCAACTTACAAATTGTTCTATAAATAACTGGGATGAATTGAATATTACATCCATACATACTGATGACGAGTCGTTCATGGATTGTGGTTGTTTACCTTAATTTGATTTGTATCGCCTATACACAAACTCTACCTACTATCTATGATGTTAAAAGGCAATACTTACAGCTAATATATTTGATACAGACACTATTGTTATTTTATGTTGTACTTCTTTATGTACAGAAACATTATTCCCATTAGCAGTTTGCTTAACTCGCACGGTATTTTTGCAGTTAATACCACTATTCTTATTCTGTAAACAAAAAAACACCTATAAAAGTCAATATAATAACAATATAATAAAATTTGATGCTATGTGACATACTATTTTACATACAGGCAAATCCATAGGCAACTCTTCGAACAATGTAGGAATTGATCCCGGACGTAGTCTTGTTCGGAAGACACTGGGATCTATAAAGTGTTCCTCGAAATGCTTTGAACAGAGTACAGAAGTAGGTTGGGGTTGGAATTGGAGCTGCATATTATCCACCCAGGCTTTCTTTAATTTGTCATCTTTTGGAAACCTGGAACAAAAGTATTAATATTATTTATTTATTTATTATATATGTATGTACACACATAAAACACAAAGGACAATACATATATAAAAACTGAGTACATAGGCCATATTATTTTATTGCTTATCATTATTTGGATAAGGCATCAAAATTTCAAGGAATCCTTGTAACAAAATACAAGCTCCTCATATTTCTTTGTTAATAAATAGTGAATTGATATAAAATTGATACATAGTAAGTACATAATAGTGGTTTTACATTAGTATAACTAAAAACAATTAAATTGTAAAATACAAGTGTGTTTGGTTATACAACTTTGTAGTAACTAATATCCAATATAATTATATTTAGTAAAAATACTGCTACTACAATACTACAATAGGCTCACCCCCTATTACATGGGACTCATAACATACTTAAATAGTGAAAAGGTGTTACTTCTGTGTGCATCTCGGCCTACCCCTTCGGGGATAAAAGGCGTGATGTTATGAAAATACTAAATCCGTCGTCTGTCAATACTACAAGTACTTCAGCTGTCAATAATGAAAAAAAGTTGATTTTATTTGTTTATTATTTTTGTTCGTTGTATTAAGTAAACTTATGGGTAAATGGGTTGTTAGTTGATAATGTTTCGATAAAATCGATTAAACATCATCAAAACACTTGATTTATTTGAAAAAAAAATGACAAATTGTTTTAATCTACAGTAAAGTAAATAAAAACTGACCGATGAAAGGTTATTCCAGGTATTTTCTTAGACGTAACACTATCACATCGGTACGCACTACACTTCACCATTTTATTTTAGTTTTTTTTTTAAGTAGTTTACGTGTTTCGTTATTGTTATTATTATTTTCAAAACGAGTTTGACACAGATGTTATCAATATGGCGGCACGGAAAAACTAGCTTCATCTTCTTTTCATTATAATGAGTGTTACCAACTCTCAAAAACAGTTATCCCTAAAACGTCAAAACCCCCTAAAATTGCTTCAATTATTTGAATATACCCCTAAAATATAATGTTTAATCAAAATCCTTAATACATAATACATTAATAACAACTGTGTAATATGTAGTAGGTACTATTTGTTAATGCTCCTAATTTGTGAATTGCCTTCTATATCAAAAATTGTATCATTTTTCTCTAAAGAGGCGTTGCAAAGCAAATTTTTTTGCATATGTACTATTTTGCATACGGCTTGGTTTAGACCGTGCAGTAACAGCTACAACGACAACAACCCTACAACAACGATTGTGCATTTCGTTCATAAAACTGAGGCAAATAATATAATTTAATTACAATTTTTGTTTGAAATCCCTAAAAACTCCCCATAAAATTCTTGCCTATTAAAATATCGAGACATCTTTAGGTTTTTTTAAGTGGGGAAAAATCATTGAAAGACTTCTCCTGCCTGGGTGAGGCGGGAGGGAGAGTTATGTCGGAATACTGAAACGCTACTCAATTTTAAGTCGTGCTTAAGTATAGTTCTGTCTCCACAAATTCTTTGTAAAATGACAGAGATGGCACGATAATTGAGCACGACTTAAAATTAAGTAACGTTTCAGTATTCCGGCATTAGACTCTTAATGACTAAAAACCTCCCCGTTGCTACTCCTACACTTCGAGCCAGAGCACCGGTAACCTGTTAAGTTCTCCGCGGCTCCGATTATATGTATAAATAGGAACTGATTGAAGTTTAGTCTAAGTAAAGTCTTACCACAGACGTGTAAAGAACCGACTTTACACATCTGTGGTAAAATAAAACAAACATGAAGTCAATAGTGTTTGTACCTGTAGTGTAAATGGCGTTTTCATAAACCAGTTAAAACGAAAACCGTTATCGGAAACTAGTTTTTGTAGTCATAATAACGGTTGCGTTTTGTTGTCCTTAGCAACTTATTAAGTTGCTATATTATTAATCGGCAACCAACAAAGATCCGAATATATTTGTTTTTGTTCTTCACCACATGCCATGTCTCGTTGTTCTAGTAATCGCAAACGTGAGTATCGAGTAACAATAGGGTTGAAAAGTACTGTGCAGTTATTTATTTTGACTATTGCAAAAATTTTAATTTCACCCTGTCTTAGCTGTACTGGAAGGAGAATAATATATTTGTCATGGGATGAGTACAATTTCAGTCCAGTAGAACTGTGTAATATTAGATCGCACTCGAATAGTATCATCGTCTTTGTCTATTAATATTAGTTGTTAGTGTAGCTGCGTAGCATGTCAGAACTCAGAACAGAACTTAGAACTCTATAACCATTATATTATATTGAGTATAGAAAAAAATACGTAAAAATATGACAAGAGCACGGACACAAGTCATTGGCGAACTATAAAACTATTAACGCATTTGGCTATACTTGATTGACTGCAGTGAAACAATGATTAAAGAATATAAAATAACAAAAATCATTGTTGCATTGATAAACACTAGGAATCGTAAAATTGTCAATCGATATGACCCAGTCATCGGTCATGTTATTATTTTCACATCTCGAATAAACTGAGTCAATGCATTATTTGAAGATAAGATTGAATTAATTTCAGCGGGATTCTCCCGGACTCAGAAACAGAAATAACTATAGTAGGTATTATTAAATTATATTCCTGTCTGTATTTTTGTTCAAGTGTTTAATTTTCCCTATTAAAGGTAATCATCCAACCAGTCTCGTTCATACAAACAGAATTTTAAGTCCTGTGGGACAAATCTTTTTTTTTCTATCGCGATGGACTTTTGGAAGGATTATTTTTCTATCCTCATGGACTTCCCACGTCGTGGGACGACGGGGGGGCGTGCCGGACTTTTACCGTCTAAAACCACCGCGGTGTTCCTCCATTACCTGTGATAGTCCAAGAGCTGGCAAGAATTTTTGGATAGGTTATATCCCTCTCCTATTATATCCCAACACGAAACTGCAGACCTAGCTGACCGTGACCCGGGTTGCCCTTACGGACTCACCACACCCGGCAGGCCTCGACCTACCGATATGTTTGCGGTAGGTCTCGCCACGTTCCTGGTCCTGGCGGCACAAAATCAGAGCTGTTATTTTGTACCTACGTGTCAAGGTTTTATTTCGCGTTACTTAATTCGACTTAGAAATTATAGAGATAGCCATCGACGGCAAAACACTAAGGCTGCGTTGCTAGGTAACGCATATGTCAAACAACAAAGAAAAGTAAAGCAATAATAATTTTAGACATGGACTAATAAAAACTATTAGACGATGATGAAAACGATGGCAACCAGCCATACAATATCTGTCAACGATTAATTTTGGTAGGAAATTTTGGTTTCAAATCTATTGACACAAAATGCAGTATTTGTGTGGTTTCAATGCGTTAGATTTGAAATATAATTATTCAAATGGACAAGAAACAATATAATGTAGCTTCAAAATGTATTTTTCGTATAAATAAAACTAGGCTATTGTGTAAATCAGAGCCGCGGACAACCAAACGAGTTACCGGGGCTCCGGCTCGAAATGCAGGCGTAGGAACAGGGTGGTTTTTAGTCGGTAAGAGCCTGACACTTTCCCGCCTCATCCCGGCGGGAGCTGTCATATTTACATAAATTCCATATAATTTAGTTTTCTATTCTACACGTAGACAAGCGCTAAATGCCATTTGGCTACAGCTGGAGAAGTGACAGAAACTGTTCATGGATCACAAATCTTGATGTACACATCGAGCTTTACATAACCAGTATAAACTGAACGTTAAATGTGCAGAAAGATTATGCGACGCGACACCTGGATACACTGGTTTTGTATAGATTGATGTATGGCCGTGTGTACATGTACAGCATAAATTCCCTATTAATATTATTTACCTACGTGACTACGTGTCATAAGCTATTTCTTGAAAAGTAGGTTTGTTTTGGACAATAACAAGGTAACAAAATAATTAGGTAGACACCTCCTAATTTAAATTAATTTAAAAATATATTATGGTTATGGCTGATGACCAACCAATTTTCCTGTTTTGAAACTGATAATCGACTTTGGTATTTTTGCACCTAAGTATAATTTATTATTGTTTCATAAACAGGTAAGCTACTTACAGTATGAAGAATATATTTATTTATTAAGACAAATTATTGATCGTAAGATTTATTTAACCGACTTAAAAAAAGGAGGTTCGTAGTTTGACCTCTTATTAGGACAAGCCCGCTACAACCTCCCAAAACCGCTGCAACTCCTGGTAAGCCAGGATCTACAGTAGATACAACCATGAAAACACCGGAACACTGAACATGAATGACCAGGGACATGAATAACTGTCTCGGTTCCCGCAACGAAATGAATCAGAGGATACTATAAGAGGAGATGAAAAAAAAATTCGTTGTTGGTCTCACGATTGACAAAATCGATGTGATGCAGTTACCAGAAAAGTGTTTAGAAGAAACTTTTTAGTATATCAATCAACCGAGTTCAAACAAAAGAAGGAATTAGGTCAGTTTTGTTTCATCAACAGTTTATGAAAGTCTACTTACTGGACACTATAACCTCCTCTTTAAAAGAGGGGTTTGAAATAATCTCTTGGCATGCTCTTGGTTGGAGACCGCAGTATCATAGGATCAGGGTTATAAAAGAACGCTGCTGCCCGGTCTCTGTTAAATGTGTAGTTGTAGTCCCTCAGTTAAATCTCACGAGACCCATAGGCCGTACGGTGGTGACAAATGAGAAGGAGACTTATGTAAATTGGAAACCCAAAAAAATAAGACTATGTACCACAACATTGTGCCTCGCTGTTTTTATACACAATTATTCTGATAACTTTCTTCGGTCAATCGAGCCCCGCTTAGTGGGGTTCCAAAATTCCGAGTGATTTATCAAATTGTCTGCTCGGCCTACATCATCAACAACCTATAAGTGCCCACTGCTGAGCAAAGTATCTTCTCACACGGAGACGGTTTGAGCATTAATCACCACACTTGCTCAATGCGGGTTGGCGATTTCGAACTTATATTAGAAACTAACTACTCTGGCGGTTTCACCCGCTGATGTTTTATAGTCTTCCTCGATAAATGGATTATCCAAACCAACCATAAAAAGTTTCTTTAGTTTAATAAATTATAATACTGTAGATAGTCCGGGTTTCCTTACGATATTTTCCTTCACCGCTTGTCACTGGTGTCTTAATTATATTTTCATTATAGAAAGAACACATAACTCGGTAAAAATCGTATTAGTACTTGCCAGGTTTCAAACCCGCACCCTCGTGCTACAAAAACGGGCGTCTTAACCTCTTATCAGCACAATATGACACACAATAAAAAACTTATTGTGTCTCGCGTATATCTACGCTCACGGCATACTATGGGTTAAAAAACCGGGTCACCACGTCCCAGTGTACCCAAGTGTGTAGTCGGGGTAACCCCATACTTTATGACAATCTAGCTGCAACAGCTTTTTCGTATTTAGCACACATAAGGGTATTAAAAAGATGACGATGATTACAACCATTTTGGATTTGCAGAATACTTATGGTAAGGTATGTACATACATACATACATCATACATACTGGGCGTATGTCGTGGTGGCCCGGAGGTTTAAGACGCCCACTTCTCATGCATGAGGGTGCGGGTTCGAAACCTACCAACGGCAAGTACCAATGTGACTTTTTCCGAGTTATATGTACTTTCTAAGATTATTTAGACACCACTGACAAACGGTGAAGGAAAAACATCGTGAGGAAACCTGAACTTATAATTTCTAATTATAAGTTTGAAATCGCCAACCCGCATTGAGCAAGCGTGGTGATTAATGCTCTAACCTTCTCCGTGTGAGAAGAGGCTTTGCTCAGCAGTGGGCATTTATAGGCTGTTGATGATGATGATGATGATCTGAAATAAAAATGAATCACAAGGGGCGT